CCTCAACCATCCTGTGATTCTGTATTTGAAAACCTAGTTGTTTAGAATATCAATTTTCAAACAACATGAAAGCAATTTTGAAGAATGCTGATATTAGTAGAATGTTTATTTCAGAATGTCCTGGAAGCTGCCACAGAAACATTCGAATGTGGTTAATTTTTTACCATGTGATAGAAGAGTATGGATAAGATAAGACAGAAAAGACAGAAGTGAGGGAGCAGAATGGCAGGGAAATTCAAATCCCATGTGTTGAATTGCGTATGGGTCCTACTGCGTGTGACCTTTAATGCTTTTCAAGTGAGAAGTGGATGAAGATGACTGTGGTTGCTTCATCACAGGAGAACGATGCCTCTGTCAGATTGAAGATTGCTTCCTTGCTGGGTTTGTTGTCAAAAACTGCAGGATTTTCCCCAGACTGCATTATGGATGATGCCATCAACACGCTTCAGAATGAGAGTAAGTCACACGTTTCAAATTGTGTCAGGATCAAGGCAGAATCTTATAGACTTTAGGAGACATCCGAAGTGTATAATTGGGAATTATTGGTCTATTACCTATTTCCTACTGTTGTGAGCAGGGGTAGAAAATATCATGTTCTGAGGATAAGAAACGTTTTCCTCAGAATGGTCTACTATACATAACTTTATTTTGGGGGAGGATGCAGTGTGCTTTTGCATCCCAAGGTATAGGGTTTTGTTGTAGAGGAGAGTCTTACTTAAAGTGGAGTACTTTCCTGATGTTTCAGGCCAGCCCATCTGAATTAATGCAGGAATGTGTTCATCTTTTAACGTTTGTTTTTGGAAAAGTAGGTTTTTGTGTTTGTCTTAATGTCATATTTACCATCATGTAGTTACTTGCTGCAGTTTAATTTTATTTTAAGGTAATGCAGAGATGGTCTGGGACCTGAAGTTGAGTCAGCAGTGAGGTACACTATCTCCTGGGCTGCATTAATGGCACCATAACCAATAAATCAAGATTATTGCCTTTTACTCAGTGCTGCTTAGATGACATCTGAGATACCGCAACCATTTTCAGGTCCCTCAGTACAGGAGAGATGTTGATAAGGTTGAGTGAGTTTAGCAGAGCACCACTAAGCTGGTTGGGGCTGGAGTGTGCGAGGCAAATTTGAGGAAACTGGGCTTGTTTGGTGTAGAGAAGAGAAGAATTTGGGGAGAACTTTCCAACCTGAATGATTTTGCCTCTCGTGAGGTGCCTCTGGAGCTATGCAGCCTTTCACTGCTTTGCATTTTTGCTTTGCAGAGTCTCACCAAGTCCTTGCTCAGCTGCTGGACACCCTCTTGGTAATCGGCACAAAACTCACGGAGAATCCCCCTGTCAGAATGAGACTGGTGGAGGTAGCCTGCAAGGTAACGTAGCCTTCCTGAGGAAATAAATCCTTTGCAATGGCAAGACTCTGTTCTTGCATGATTTTGGGTTGAATCCCTGTTGGGAAGGAGCTCCCAGTTCTGTATTGAAGAAAGGAGCAACCTGAAACTGCACAGGGTGTGAGCACAATGTCAAGTCTCGTTGAGGAGTCTGTACATGACAGCAGTGTTTGTGGGATGTCTGAGTTTTCTCTGTTATTGTCTCTTTCTCTAGGTACCAGATAAACATTTTTGTGTTAAGCAGATCACGGTTAGATATGCAGCTAAAAGTATGGCTTGATAAATAGCTTCTTTTATTAACAGAAAGCCTCCTCTTGAGGAGAAGAAGCAATTAAAAATGTGTAAATCACGCGAATAGTTTATTTCAAATTATATATTCATCACTGCAACAGGAAAAAAAAAAGGTCAATGTTTAAAATATTTTTTTAAAGAGATTAAGAGAGAACTTTAGGGTTACGATTGTTAGCATTTTAACAGTGTTTTTATCTCTTAATTTCTTCTATTCCGTAGCATCTGACAGATTCATCCCATGGTGTAAGAAATAAGTGTCTTCAGTTAATTGGCTGTCTTGGACCAGTGGAAAAAGGTGTTGCAAAAGAAGCTGAAAGTCAGTCTGCCAAAGATGTCCAGAAGATCATAGGGGATCACTTCAGTGACCAGGACCCTCGGGTTAGGACTGCAGCTATAAAAGCCATGGTAAATGTTGCTTGGATAATGAACTGAACTGTGTGGGTTTGTGCCAGGAAGCTGATATGAATGGAAACTGATTTGAAGAGATTTAGATTAGAAATTGTGTAATGATCTTGATAAAAGCCTACTTAATGTGTCAAAATTACCTGAAAGAAAT